GGGGGCATGGAAGGCTTTAACCAGGAGAATGATCCAATAAGGTTTGCAACTTTAGAGAACTTTCGAGCAGAATGTGAAGGATGTCCCATAGAAGATGAAGGAAGCAGAACAATTAGGAGGCTACTGGGGCCCAGTGAAAGAGGCTGACCAAGGGTGAAGCAGTGGGGCTCTGAAGGAAGGGAGAGGTGTGCTTGGCATATCTGTGGTACAGTCAAAATTGTCACTGGTTAGATATGGAGGAAGATACCTAGAATATTGCTCAGGTTCCAGTATGGTCAATGGGGAACATGTGCTCCCTTAACCAGTTGAGGGGATATTTTCCCTTACTTGTTTCTTTGCTTGATAATTGACATAATTTTGATTCTACCTGGAGCTGTGCATTTCAACAGCTTGGTGTTCACATTTTAGAAGGAAGAATCCGAAGTTATTCATTCCTGACTAGAGATTTAACTCCTTAACAAAACAAAGCAGAACTCAAAATGTGTGGTGGAGTAAGCATCTTTTCACATTGTGAAAGAGAATTCAGTCAAGCAGATAATGGAGAAGTTGCAGTGCTGTGTGGCTTGCCTTCAGAATTTCTAAATGGACTAAATCAAATAAAAAAAAGTCTTCTATTGTAGTTTCATGAAAATCACTTTAAAACCTAAATCTCATAGTTTCTGACTATGTTCAGAGTGTGAAGTTATATGGCTCTATGACTTCAGATGTTTTGAAGTCAAAAGGACCAAAGAAGCACTATGAACTAAGGAGTTACTAAGGGAGGCCTTTGATTTGCAAAAAAAGAAAAATCTAAAGGGAGAGTGTGGTCTTTGTGGGGACATTCTTGTATGAGGTCAGAATTATCTCACAATTGGAAGGAACCTGGCTGCTGGGAATTAAGGAGCTCAGAACAAGTGGCTCTCCCATGTGGCATTTTCTATCATCCTTATTCTTCATGGTGGGATTCTAGGATTCAAGAGGAAGTTGTCTGTTTTGTAATCTTATTGATTACTGAAGTATACACACCAATGGTGAAGGTGAAAAGTTCATGTTAGGCTCAACTGTGAGAAATGAGAAGGGCTCTGGAAACTGACCCTAACCTGAAGTCTCTCTGAACATCTCACTTCAAGAGAAGGGCTGAAGGTCAGGCAAGAAGGATTCACCTACTGAAAGTCATGGAATAGAAGACGTGTTAGCTTAACTCATGATGGTAATTCATAATTAAAAAATATAATGCTCATATCTAGATTATTTTTTAAAAAATAAGAGAACTTCCTTATTTTCTAAAACATAAAGACAACTTTATTTTAATGCAATATATTTTTATTTAAATGAAGGATGCTGTGTGGACAATTATATGAGACTCTCTTACTCTTAACAATGTCTATGCCATAAGCCTGGGGATAGATATCATGAGACAAAGTCACCTGCCACCATTGATGGGGAATGACGTTTTAAAGGATTGAATCATAAGTACTTAAATCTATAAATTATTAATTGCTTCAGAAGTAAAAGGAGTAGAACCTTAAGAATTCTTGGTTGGTTAACGGGAGTGTCTGAGAAACCAAGTGGTTACTTACATTTAGGAATTATTCTGAGACTTAACTCCTTTGATGTTGTTGCTCTGTAGGCAGACCTTTTGCTGGGCCTTTGGACTGAAGTTTAAGAAAATGAAATATGTCTAAACATCTTGGTTACAAACTAAGGCAAATGGTGTGCATAGGCAGCCTATATAATTAGGATCTTTTTGTCTGTCTTAGTAGATATTTGCAATGAAGTTTGAAGGTGAAATTATGAAAACTTTACAAAGAGTTATGTTTTAGTAAATTTCTGTGAATTATACTGAAACATTAATAGAGTAAGACACTAAAATTAGAGACTTCGTGTAAAATGGTATGGCTACACAAGAAGAAAACATAAAATAGATGAAGTTATTGAGCTGCAACTTTAATGCTGGTTAGTGATTATGCTGAACAACATATAGTTGTTATTAAAAAGGGGTTTACTTGTTGCAAATATTTGCTTACTACACTGGAGAAATTATATGTTTATTTGATCAGTTTTTATTGGTGTGTACAAGGTAGAGTATGTCATTTGGAGCTAAGAAACTTAGATTCCAAAGCTTAAGAATCTGGAAGGAAAAAACCAAATGGAAGGTAGTATTTGAAAATCACTTTGGGGTAGACATTTTATGGCTTCCTTATATGTGCTCAAATTTATCCTCATGATATCCCAGCCTTGTAAAGTCCATTGAATTGCCATGTTAGAGAGCAGGAAATTAGCTTGAAGAAAGAAATCATGCAAATTCACAAAGTTGCTAAGTTCCATACTTTTTCCACTGCATGTGCTACCTATATATTGAAACTGAGAATTCATTCTCATGGCTACACTTCATTTCCTTAGGAAGCTATGTTTAGGGAAAGGTACATAGAGCCACTATGCCAAGAAAAATTGGGTTCTAGAGTATCTCCAAACCTAAGTCAGAGGGGTTCACTGTCTTTCAAATGGAAACTTGGGTTTGGTGGTAACATGTACTGTCCATGTTATGAAAAATAAAAAATGAAAGACTTGTTTGTGCTTGGATCAGAGGATTGAGAGGAGTACGGTCAGTAGAAATAAGAGTTGTAGTCAGAGAACTTTGATATTAGTATTATCTCTGCAACTCACTAGAGTGTAGCTTCAGTAAAGAGTTTTATTTCCCTGAGCCTAAGTTGTCCTCATTGTGAATTAGATCAATATCCCAGAGGGCCAAAAATGATAATAAAAATGAGATAAAGGATGTTTTAAGTCATAAAATGTGATAAAATGTTACTTGTACTTAACAGGTTATTTCTCTGCTTATGAGTAAATCTATACAAGCTATAAAAGATGTTTACATCTGCAAATAATTCTCTAGCCTCTGCAGCATGCCATGGGGTGGGAAGGGATGTTTCCTCCATCAGATTGCCTCAATAAGTCAGTTGGAAGGGGAAGGGTTAGAAAAAAATCCTGGGTGGAACCATTGCCACATTTTATCTCCTCATTAGGAATTACTAGTTTCCTTCTCCTGCTCTTTTTAAAAAAGAATCAGGTAGATCATGATGGTTTCCCTCTAGGTAATAAAGTCCTTTCCTATTTTCCTGATGTATGATATTTTGGAGCTCACTGAAGTGCAAAACCAACAGCTCACCAGAGAGGTCCAACAACCACAGTCATAGGATGTCAACAGGAACACAACATGGAGGATTGGGCACAGCTAATTGACCAACAACAGCCCAAAAGGTTAGAAATATTGCTGCTTTTTGTAGCAGTAGGATGGTTCTGTCTTTTATAAAAGGAAAGCATTTCTATTTCCTACCAAATTAATCTTTTGGACTCATAGTTTTTATAAATTTATTTCATGCTATCCATTTCAGGGAGGGTTGGCCAAAGGTGGAGTGTAGACTGATTCACATGAGACCAAACAATGCCCTCTCCTTCCAGCATCCTAAATCTCTAGATTTCAGAATTGCCTCTCTTAACCCCAAATCCTTGATATCAAGTCCTCTTGTCATTCATCATCAGGACAGAGAGCAAATAAATCAAATGATGGGGAAGACACTACATTGGAAAGATAAATCGTTTGCTAGTTTAGAGAGCTGGCCTCGATTTGACATTCAAGAGTCTACATGGTTGAAGTGAATGGAGAATAGTAACAATTAGCCAGATATTTAATTTGGCTATATGTGCATCTTCATTCTCTCCATACCTCCCTCCATCATACATGCATCTGCCTCAAATATAGCTTAGGTATTCAATTTTAACCTAAATCACTAGGACAGCTTGTAATTTTCTACATCTTAAATTTGAAGATGTAGAAAAATGCCTCCATCTTTAATTTTTAAATTCTGCTCAATCCTTGATTTTCTGAAGAGGTGAAAGAATGTAGTGGCTTCAGTGTGTGTTTAGAATTTGTGTGTGCATGTAAATCACAGTTGACACAAATGTGAGGTTTCTGAATATTTTGAAAATTTAGTAATATAAATAGTAACACTAGCATAAAGATTGCTCTGACTCTTCTAGACATCCAGACCGTTTTGGAGAGGACAGTAGTGGAGCTGTTGATAGGTAGCAGGAATCATGTACATAAATGGAAGTGATGTTGATGGGAAGCCTCAGGTACCATCAAACTTCAAAGGGGGCCACTGTGTATCCTAAAGGATTGATGACCTCTCCTTGCCTTTATCCTATTTGGAATAATGAGTAAAATGCTTGAAATATATAAAAAGTACCACCCATGCAAGTAACTATTTGTTAAAATATGGCTTTTGTTTAGGCTAATTTCAGTAAGAAAAGTAATATCCTTATTTCTGTGAGTCTTAGGATGTGGGAAATTTCTCATGCATACACCCTTCCCTGAGTAGTAAGATGGACATTGAGTTTAATTTATTGATAGAACGAGGGGAATGAGCCCAAGTTAGCCTCATCTCCTCTTAAAACAATGAATCCTTAAATTAAGAGCCTAATGGAAAATAAATTGACTGAAGCAAAAGGTGGCTTAGCATGGCCATGGTGGGTATCAGACTATTTGAATGATGATGACAAGTTTTCCTCTCATGACTGCATGGGTTGACATGTTGACATTTCCATTAGTCTGAAGAAGTTTCTTGCTGTCACTACAGAACGTGTTAACAGCTAAGACCCAGGTGGTCATGCCTAGAATGTCCTCTCTGTCATGTGATGGTGTGTATGGGGGTGGGGACATCATATTGCTTGGGTTTGGCCCCTTCAACAAGGAATACAGAGGCAAGAAGAACCAATAGGCAGAAGATGACTCAATAATAGACAATGAGGCCAAAGCAAAGCACAGACAAGATGATTGTGGGGTCCATGGAACACATTCCTATATTAGCACAACTGTCGCATGAACACAAAAGGTGCTGGTCTAACAGACTGAAATGTTAGTCTGCTGAGCAACACTCCCAGGTCTCCATAGAGTGGCATTTTTATTGCAGTATTTCGTTCATGGAAAATGAACAAAACTTTAAATAAATCACAATTACTTATTGCTTAGTATTTTGGATAAGTAATTCTTTAGTTTATCAGTACCCCCACGGCTTTCAAATGTGCATTCTTCAAATAGTTTCAGTTACATATACATTCTTTCTCCTGAACAATAAATTATATTCTTTTTTTAAAAAAAGAAAAAGATACATAATTTTAAAGAGAAGAAAAACAAAACAAAAAACATATATTTTTTTGACATTTACCTTAAACTTATATGAAAACAACTCTATGTTAGGTGCTTAAATATAAATAATAAAGGACATTATGTTATTTACAATGTTATACAGTAAGTTGAAAGAGTAAAAATCTGACATTAACTCATAAAGACAGTAAATGATTTAGGAAAACATCTAAGTAATGTACAGGATGTATTTACAAAAGAATATATAATAGAACGTGTGATATGTGGCCATTTCCCTTTGTTTGCATTTGTCTGCAGTGTTTCGTGGGCCTTTGTAGATAGAAATCTAATCTCTGTGGCTGGTGGAACACAGCCAGGGCTAAATGATAAAACCAGCCTTTCTTATTTTCACCATTGTGAGCTGTGCCCCTTTTAACTCCAGGCCATAAAAAAAAAGGAATAACTACTGAGCAAGTTACCCTGGATAAACTCCACCTGTATCAAGACAGTCACACTTAGACAAGGAAGATACAGCATGTTGGTGTCGGAAACACATTCACATACCCCCTGGTAGAGTTAGTTTGTAGAAAGCATGAGGCTGTCCAAGTACTCTTGGAAAAAAGTCATACCAGGCAAGAAGAGAGAGTAGGATAGTAAAGAAATCTTGAGTGAGAAAAAGAAGTTTGCATATACTATGTTCCATTGCATACCCCTCAGTTGGATATGATTTCTAGGCGGCAGAGAGGCTGTGGAACTTCTGGGCGATTACCCAAAAACCCACAGAAGCTTTTTCATCTGCTGGGAACATAGGTTCACCCTCCTTTGGATGGCCACAGCACTGCCTGAGTTTATAAATGGGGTGGTTGGTTGAGAGCCACGTGGCAGTTAAACATCATAGAGATGTCCCTGTGAACACAAATCTGGTGGCCGCAGCAAGTAGCCCTGAGGAGTCAGCTGGCCTTTCTTATCAAGGGAAGCTCTTGTTTTACAGGTAATGCTGCCCCGAATAATGCTCCCTCTGTGAGTGACTAGAATCAAGTTGGAAAGAAACTTTCCCTTTAGCCTAAGTTTTCATATATTTGTGTAACCTGAAAATTTACAACAATTTTCATGTTGTTCATTGCTCTCAATAGATTTTATTTATTCTTGAAATTATTCAGAATGAGACATGTGAGTACTCCTAAGTCTGTAGAATTTGAAACAAAAGTTGTAGTTTTAATTCATGATAGGAATTTTTTTATTGAAATAGTCTAAGACTGACTCAAAGGCAATATTAGAATAACTTATAGAACCTCTTTGGGTTGACTGTCTTCTTTCTCCTGCCGCGAGTTTACTCATTTCTACAGATCTGGGAAATCAGTGCAACTTCTGCAGCCTGACAGGGGCCTTTCCGTGTAGTTTAACAAGCTGATGAGGGCACTGCTGAGCACAGAGGAAGTGGTATGTGAACAATGAAGGGCAACTTGGGATATCAAATACTCAGAGTAACTTCAAAGACCTGCAGACAGGGATCTCTGTGGACTGTGGAAACATGTAGGAGGTCAGTGACATGACTCATGCCCAGCCTGCATTTTTCTCCTAAGACCTTCTTGCATGTTTCTTCTCCCCTTTACCTTTAACATAGAAATTTGGTGAAGTAATATGTTCAGTTCACCTGCCCACAAGAAGCAGTTACTCTCATTGACTTCATGCCTGGTATTTTGAACCCCTTGCTAACTTGTTTCCCATTTTATCACATGGCTCCCAGGAGTCTACTTGGAACCTCAGTAAAGCTTCAGCCAGATTCGGCAGGAATCAGGCAGGTCATGAATTGGGGACCTGCAATTTTTACAAAAAGCTATTATTTTCCTGAATTAGCAGTTCTTTCGAATGTTAATACCTATAGGCCTTCCTTGGATTTACAATCTTAAGAGAACATGCAACATTTAGACCCATCTGTCCTGTGAGAGTAAAGCAAAAACAAAAGAGGAAATGGGTGAGGCAGGCTGCGAAGCAAGAGGTCAGTACACAGGAGAGGGTCGTGTTTCTGCAGGGCAAAGTGCAATCTTTCCAACACTATTGGCATTGCCTGATGAAGCATCGCTCTCAGAAGGTTCTTACTAGTCACAAATCACATGCATGTTGGCCATTCCTGACAAAAATGTTCATGCATAGTCATGACCTAATCAAGGCAACATTGAAAAGCAAGAGAAAACTAATGAAGAGAAAGGAGTGGTCAACAAAACTGTTTAAAATTGCAACCCATGCCACACAGCTGCCCTTCACCTGTGTCTTCTATCAGTCCCTCCTTCTGGACACTCTATTTCCCTACAACGACCAGTCACCACTAGGCACAGCAGGCATGTTTCCCTCTAAGCATTTCAGACAAGTGCTGAGTGTGCTGTTGGAGCTGGGGTGTTTGTGCCATAGCATGTCTGTTTCCAGCCAAGAAGACAGAACCAATCACTAGCTCCAAAATCAGTGAAAAAGACAAGTCAGGAATGATTGCACCTTGTCCAGCCCTGGTCTGATCTTCAACTAGATGTGTTGTTGTGTCATTCCCCCAGAGAGAAAGTGATATTGAGTCCTCCGATAAGGTGTTGGTCTTACCCTGATAGCAAGCCAGAACCCATTCTTCTCTGCTACCCTTCAAACTGTTGCTTTTTGGTCAAGAAAAAATAAATTGAAATAAAATAAGTGATAGCTCCTCTTAGTGAGAGCAAGCTGTGTTCTGATGAATAATATAGGTGTGTGTGTGTGTTTTTAAATCACAATATTACTTTCTTCATAATAGTTAACATTACTTAATGCAGTTTCCTGCTGTAATTAATAGTAACATGCTGTTGGATCTACTATTATCTCAGAGCCCAGTGAAGCAAACCTTTGGCTGGCAGAGTAGACACGACTCATTTCATAGACTGAATACAAAAGAAAACTTCGTACAGAAGAGTATTTGGATGGATGTGCCATTACAAGACGTACTGATTGGGTGCTACTGTAAGCAAACGGAGGAACAGTTGCAAGTCTTGCAAATCATACATCCAGTCAACATCATAATGCAATGCACAAGAAGCCAGCGAAAACAGAATACATGGGAGGTTTTGCTGAAATACTGTGGAAAAGCAATCACGGTAATGGTACAAAACTTGCTCTCGACATAACATAACATAAAGGCACCATTGATATCTTTCTTGTTTGGAAATACTGTAAAAAATTGCTACATATGGCACATAACACATTTTTACATACATATATTTAATTTATAAAAGATTTTTTTTTCTCCTGTTTTCTATTTGCAGAACTGCTAAAATAAAATAAATTGTTTAATTTAAGGTGGAATACTTTATTATATAAAATAAAGTTTTACAGGTGTATCTATGTGTTTATTTAGGTTTTATACAGCGATAGGGTCTTGGTTAGCAATTACACTAGACAGCCTGGCCTGCAGATCCTCCTGTGTCGAGAAGCGGCCTGCTGGGTTAGTCCTGTTCTCGGCCAGGCGGAAGGCAGGTGCTGCCTCAAGACTGGCTGTCAGGGGGTTCTGTATGCCCAGGAAAGGGGTGGCTTCACCTACTCTTTCATCTTCTGTCTCGCTCTCTGAGTTACTGATCTCAGCGCTTGTGTTGCTGTCCATTTCCAACCTGTTGGCAATGTGGCCATTGGGCTTGGTTCTTTTGGCCCGTCGGCTATTGGTGAGTTTCTTAACAGGCTCTTGAGCTGGCTCGTACTCCTGGGTCGTCTCATACTCCTCATCCTCCACTATCCTCAAGGGGCTAGGGGGCAGGCTGCTGCTCTCATGCGCGGGATTGTGGTGGAAGGAGTTGAATTGCTGAGGGTGGTGGTCATACTTCTCCCGCAGCCGTGGTGGAGTCACCAGAAGCAGAGGTCTCTCTTCTTCCACAGAGGGGCTGACTGCCATCGAGGGCATGGACACCGTCGTGCTGGACACAGGTGCAGACATTTCCGAAGGGGGCGATTTGGGGGAGCTTGGCGTGTGGAAATCTACAGGTGACATACGAGCCGGGGTGGTCATTGCTGACACAAACCTGTGTGAGCACAGAATACCCCGCATAAGTGTGGTGGCATAAGAGGAGTCATAGAGTAGGGAGGGTAAGGGGAGAGAGTTCACGATATTATATAATCAAGAGACAAGGAATTTCTGTTCATCGTATGCTTCTTGATTTTTACACTAGGACAGTCAGTACCCTTGGAATCTAAAATAATGTAGCCAAGAGTTTCCTTACAGGAGTACATACATGCACAGATCAGCTACATGGCCTAGCTCATCAAAGCTTTAAGGATTTTCAATCTCATCATGATTTTAAATAAAAGCATGAGTCAAGGTCAGAGGGCACGAGGTCCTGGAAACCTGTCAGTTTGTAAGGACCAAGGCTGAGGGATTTGTAAAGGAAAGAAGTATTACTGAAATACTATACCTTCCTAAAGGCCAAGGGGTCTTAGAGAATGAAGCCCAAATGGGGAATGGAGGAAGATCTAAGATGAGTTGCTGAGAGCTGGATCTGCATGCATTTGGATCTGTGTGCCTTGTTTCTCCTTAGCTCAGCTATAAGGTTATGTCTTATGAAAAAAAAAGAGCATAGTGACTTAGATTTATTCCTGATAACAGTGTAACATATTTGTGTGCTTTAAATTTTTCCATGAAATGCTACTTTTTAACATTCAGTTTGCAACTATCCATCCCAGTGACCAAGACATCCAAAGGTAACCTGAGAGAACCTTACATTGGCTTCACATACCTGTGTTCAATCTTTGGTCTACCTTTCTTCCAAAATTTAGAGCTGCATCAGTCTTTGGCTTATCTTTGTGACTGCTCAAGGTCTGCTGTACCATATTACCTTATGTCATGTTATGGCTGATAATGCTCACTGAATCTTCTTGTCAAGACACTGAGTGCAATGTTTTTACCATATCATGCTTTACTCCATCCCCCTACCACTTCTGACATGGCACTGAAAAAAGATGTGACTTTTGAGAGTCACATTTCTCAGCTTCTGATAAAAATGTTACCAATGCATAGCACTAAATGACTCTTTTCTTCACATTGGTGTTCTCAGAGTTTGATTTGACATAACCTGTGATGACACAGGACAGCGCCATCTGAACATTAGTTAACAGGAACCTATTAACCTTCCTGCTTTCAGCCATGATTCAGAGTTATATGGATGTGAGATCTAGCTGTGTCTAAAATGGGAGAGTGTCTAGAGGTTGAAATATTTGGGGCCCGAATCTTCAGACTTTTGCTTTATGAATACTTAAATTAAGCTCTCTGAGAAATGCTAATTCAAATTCAACCAAACACATAAAAGTGATTTATCTTTTTCTCTCCAGGATCTCTAGGTTCAGGTATATATAGCAGTCCTAGAGACTATCTGGGATACTCAAGGAAGCCTACCACCGTAGGAAAATGTCATTCTTTAAAAATAAATGTCACATGTGGTGAGAAAGAATTTATCCCTAAACTCTTTTCAGGTTTCAAAAAAGAATAGATAGACTTTTTAAGTACATAAATGTATAAACAGAATAGATAGACTTTTTTTAAGTACATAAATGTATAGTTATATGTATATCTAAGAGTAATGCTTTAAACCAATTTTGGACAATATACCTTATTTTTCATTCATGAAAAGAGCAACCTTTAATTCCATAAAGCTTTGAAATACCATTTTGAGATATTTCATAGAAAGGCCATTCAATAGCAGGTTCTATATGACCTATAAGCTCAAAACTAGTCCTCTTTTGTTTTAAGTACTTCCCAAGCCAAGAGTAGAAAAAGTCTACCAAACTATTTCCCCCACGTAAATACCAAATACATATTTAACATTATGTAAAGCTTTGAACAAATAGTCAAATATTAGACTGAGATGACACAGTAAACAAACAGACAAAACCCCACTGGATTTGAAAACAAACAAGTGACAGCTTACAGGTAGGCTAGAAATGCTGGTTGGGTATAACTCTCTCCCAGTTTAGGTGAAAATGGATAAAGATAATCTATAAATTTAGTATTCCTATTAAGCATCTCTTTCAGTTTACTTTCCTCTGTTCTTTATTTTACCTTTGTTATAATTCCCCAGCCCAATCCAATGCCCCAGATAAAAAGCCAAAACATTCTGGAATAAAGGGCCACGTGAGAGGCAATATCTACTTTGAAAACCAACTGTGAAGACTGTCAGACGCAGCATATAAAAGATTTATTTATTCATCCCTTCTTGGAATTTCATAAAAGGGATAATCTATGGTGGAACACAAGCAATTGTTCCCCATGAGAGTCAGCAGTGACATAGCCCTTGATTTGGTTTAACTGAGGCTGGATGGTAAGTCGAGTTAGCACATGGAGAACATGAGATCAGTTTGACCAGAGTTTGGATAATTGGCAAATTGGAATTCTAGAAGGGTCCTTATCAATCACTGGTGTCATCTCTCTAAAGTGATAACTGAGGAAACAGATCCTGAGTGGGGCTGAGCCTAAGGCCAGACCTAGGAACTCCAAGTTGGCTGCACCTTCCACATCAAATCACTCCAGCTCGTTAAGAGTCTGTTGCCTGTCGGCCACTGGGACGAGGTGAGAAGCTCAGAAGAAATGAGTTCAGTCACACAGAAAGATGACTTCATCAACTAGGAGCACTCCTAGAACAGGCAACTGCTGCCCCTTATTCTCATTAGAGCAGATTTCCTTAGGTGAGACCGCAGGTGCTCATGGGGATTCGCTTACTGGGGTTCTTTCTCCTCTGCAGTAGCTTTGCCCTTCAGTTTTACCTTTCACTATGAGGAGAGTCTCGGTAGGAGTCAGGGGTTTCTCTGGCATGCCTGAGGAAGTTGTTACATTCACGAGGGCCTCCCATGCCATTAAGACGTCCTCTTGGGCCCCCCGTTGGGCTGCTGTGCCTACTGTTTTCTACCGATGACATCATGATTACAGAGTGGCTTTCAGAAATGATGCTTTCGGTGTGTCCGTTGCTCCAGCTAGAGGGGAAATGTGAAATGCAGAGATATTTTTTTAAGAAAATTATGTGCAAAAATGGAAATGAAGAGAATGATCAAACAAGTATTTCAAATTATCCATGAATCGATAGTTCACTATAACATTCTATTCTCCGAATAGAATTGTTATAAAGATACTTGCTATAGAAAGGATCTTGATTTAGATTGGTTTTGTAAGAACCAGGTTAGTCATTTGTTCACTCATTCAACACATTTATCAAATAGTGTTCTTTTAATCATTCTGATCTTGACAGCTTGGTTAAGGAAACACTTGCCCAAAGTGAGCTACATTTGGAAGTCTAGTGTTGCTTTTGGTTGCACTAGTGCTGCACTCAGATATTGGTCACCAGGGCATTTTCTAATTTAGGGTTCACCTATTTAATCAATTTCTCATGTGTATTTCTCAGGAAAATTTAATCAATGGGAGAAGCCAACTTCTAAGTATTATATAGCATCTAAGACAGAGTTTTCCCAGCATAGCAATTCAGTGAGTGGCTGGGCAAGAATAAAGACAATCTCTGGAATAGGGAACAACTCTTGAGGTAGGTATTATCTCCCTTTGTTTGATGATAAAAAAATTAAGGCTCAAATTTAAACAGCAATTACATGGCAGAGCCAGTGGATGTCCCAAGTCTGTTTTGTCCCCAACCATATGTTTAACTATATTGCACTGCCCCATACGTGTGTCCTATGCCTTTCTTAGGCAATGACAGCACAAGGACATTTACAAATATTCATTCTTGAAGAAACCACACAATGGTTTTTCTCTCATACCTGTGACTCGGAGTCTGGGTGACAGTAGTGGAATGATGAGTTGTCGAGGTATAGTGACTGGTGGAAAAAGATGTCTCCACTTCTCTTTCGACAATATGCTCACTAGAGATGACGTTTTTAGATACGTATTGCTGGATAAACAAAGAGACACAACTTGAAGGTTCATATAAGTCAAAACATTAACACTCTCACACACAAAAATCTGTTCTAGTACACATGATAAACAAATTTCTTCATAATAAATTTATTTTATCCAATGTCCAGATTTAAAAAAAAACAAAAACTATTTTGGTTACTGCAGCCTTTAGATTCAGTGAATGAAGTTAATAAGTTACTGCTCATTGTCTATTTTTTTAGTTTGTTTCCAGTTGATAACATGACTAGAATTCAGTAAAAATCTTTGTCCAATATTCATTTTGTGTCATGGTTGTTACAAAAGAAAGAAAAATTTGTTTAAAGTCTCTATATTTTGGATCTACCTCTGTTTTACAATTTCCTAGTGCCCACATTGCTCAAATGATACCACTGGAATTTTTAAATTGCCAGTAGTAAAAGTAGCAAGGCTGCTGAGAGATGGGAAGAATATATAGAAGTTGTTAAGGTCATACATACATCTTGAGAAAGCATATACAACATAGAGGATCCATATGCAATGCAAGTACATTTTATTGATATTTAATTTTCATCACCAAATCATAGTAGCTATTAACTGCCTTCTCAGCGGGAGAGGCACATTCTGAAGTTGTTTTTAAATGCTATTTGTATTTACACCAAATGAAGTTAAATAGAGGATGAGGCATGAAAAAGAATAACCTCAGATGAAATAGGGCTTTGTAATCTGATGGGCCATGAGTGCTAAAACAACCTGATATATTCATGGAAACTCCAAAAAGTGTAATATAAATTATTCTTGGAGTCCTAACTGGTTCTCATGGAGGAAAGGCTATTCCATGTGGATTCTCTGGGACGTGCGGCTAGCTGGCTTTAAGGAAAAGATGGTGGTGTCCACATAATGTGCTACTTTCAGTCTGTGTACCATTTCACTCTTGCTTCTGGAAGGCAGTGTAACTCAGTGTATCTAATGAACATAACATTTAACACTTACTCAACACTCATTGAATGCCACTGGGCTAAGTGTTTTATGTAGGTTCTCTTATTTAATGCTAGCAAGGACATCCTGACGTAGGTATCATTTTTAGGCCTGTTTCCATGATGAACAAATAGGGTTTAGAAAGGTTAAAACCTAAAGTCACACAGTGTATGAGCTATGAATGGAATCCAGGCAGTCGTTCCGCTTCCTACGTCTTGTAACATTCTTAGTGACAGCTTATAGGGCTGTCTGTAGTGAGTGCATTGATCGACCATGCACAACATTCTAATGAGTACTGATGGGAGTGGAAAGCAGCAAAGCATGCTCATGTCTTTGCACCTTTCTCTGCCAGTCTCCTGCGGGTCTCCACTACAAGACTTACTGATGGTTTAGTAACCATCCTCTCTGAACTTGGGTCCATGATATATTTGCTCCACACCAAATATACCTTTTTCTACAGAATAGAAAATGGTAGTGCAAGAGAATCTTCAACCTTTGCTTATAAAAAGTCAAAAATCAGAGAGAAATGAAGAAAACAGGAAGAATGATGGTGGAATCGGACTAGAAAGAGCAATACTTCTAAAGCTGGGGAAACTGAGTCCAGCTCTGGCCCTTCTCTGGAGGTTTGAAGGTGATATCAAAAGACTTTGCAGAATCTAATATTCTATGACTCAGTTATATTTCAAAGCCTGGTAAATTTTAAACAAAGGGCTTGAGTGGTTAAGGGTAGGTTTCGTTAGGAAGGTGTGGCTTCAAGTGGACAGAGTCAGGGAATAGGAAGGCAAATGTTCCAGTTTTGCTGAGAAGCAAGTTTGATAAGTCACTTGCCATTTCCCTGTGCTAATTTCTCCCTTTGTAAATCAGAATCTGCAAAGCATCAGGCACAGTGAAGCCTCACACAAAATCACTCTGCAGCCCTTCGCTCCGTTCTCAATGCTAATCAGTTATAGGCTGGAGAGGCCTTCATTTCCAAATTAGAAAAATAAAACATTTCCTTTGGATTCTTGCATCATCAATTTTCTAATTTTTCTTTGTGTTTTTCTTTTCTTTCTTCCAGCCATGGCCTCCCCGCAGAACAAACCCAACTTTATTATTATTCCAACCCCTTAATGAATACTAGAAGAGGAAATGTGCTGGTTTTACAGTAACCAAATCCACTTTAAAAAATGTCCCCATTATTTTCTTCGGGCAAAACGTTGGATTCCTGGAAGCTGTGGAGATTAATGGCAGCAGCTAAGAGCCTAAGAGCTTTTGAAAATAAACTTCCAGGTGCCTGGAACAGAGGGGAGATGCTCAGCGTATCCACAGGCCAGAGCCAACCTACATTGACCAGCTGGACGTTCTCGGAGGGTGGGTTGGGGTGGTGAGGCCCATTGGCGATGTTGACCATGTTGTTTCGCTCAGACCGAAGACTCTGCCGAAGCCGGTCGTGAAGCTTTTTCCGCTGTTTCCTGCGCATGGAAAAGGGAACATTTACTTTTTTTCTATTGCTTACATTTCTTATTTCAGCCAATTCCTTATTTCGCCAACACAGAACCCGGGCAGTGGCTTGGTGGTGAGGGAGGGGGGAGGAAGGGTGTGCCATTTCATCTTAGAATCTGCCTGTGAATCTACACATTCTCTTAACTAACAAATAGGTGTGAAAAGCTGAATGGGCTTCTTACAGAAATGAGACTGGACTGCAGAGAGAGAAGACAGAAAGAGGAGGAGATGGGATAATTCAGGTGGATATTTAGCTGAAACCCCATCTTCACCAACCCAGCCACCTGTGCCTAGGTCTTACAGGTGGTCATTTGTCTTAGGGAACAACTTGCGCTGGGCAATTGATAAAGCCGATTTCATCTTGGCCTGTAGAGTTCGCAGTTAGTTTTGAATCTGCGCATTTTCCGTGGTGTGTGTGCATGCATGGTGCTGTACATGAGTGAAAACGTGCCTATTTTGCCTGTAGATTTGGGCACAATTGTAACAAGATCATACTCTAGCGTAGGGGTGTCGAACTCAATCAGAGAAGGGGCCAAAATCTAAAATCCAGCCTAAATCGCGGGCCGAATGGTTTACTGAACAGTCATAAACTGTCATTGTGATGGAAACGCAGCGGAGTGCAGTGATGACAGCGCGGTGCGGGCCACATTGCAAGGCCTGGCGGGACGGATTTGGCCCGCGGGCCTTGTGTTTGACACATGTGCTCTAGCGACTTTTGTTTCTTATAACTAGATATTAAATATCTAAAAAGATATTTAAGGGAAGATGTTAAGGGTGGGGGGTAAGGGGGACAGAAGAAGGACCTATGTAATACTTTCAAAAATAAAGATTTAAGATAAAATAAATAAATAGCTCTTAAGGTGACTCCATGAAGGCTTCTCTCAGTCGTTTACTCAATCCTGGCACCCAGTTCTGGGGTTTTAGGAAAACACAATCTATGCCCTGGATTTTAGGGAATAAAAGCACTGTCTTTATTCCTCAACACAACATTCAGATCATAATACTATCCCCTTGACTCGCTTTGGCAAGAACATGTATGTGATGAAGCCACAAGACTTGAAGTGGAGGTCATATGTCAGAAAGTGGAGGGAATTTGTGTCACAAAGTGATTACATTTGTGAATATGGACCTCATTTAAAGGACCAAAAACAGTGAACACAAATCTACTCTAATGTTTTCCCTTTTGTTCTTTCAAAGCAAGTTTCACTTGCGTTTCCTCTCAGAAGATCCCTTTTGTGCATCGCACACTCTTGAGCATCTAAGCTGGAAACTTCATGGGACAGGATTAAAGAAATAATCAGGATAATGCTCAGAAAATGGCAACTCAAATGCCACCAAGCGTTTCCCTTAGCTTCTAAAGGTAATTGCAAACTGGACATGTCCCCAGCAGTGTTTGACAAGCGCACTTCTTGCCCCCACCACCCTCCTCTCTCTCTCTCTCTCTCTCTCACACACACACACACACACATACACACACACACACACACACACACACACACACACACGCACACATATGGGCCCCAGTCAAGCCTGACCGTCCAACCAACCCTCTCTCTGGTCAGAGGGCTGTGGTCACTCATCAGAAGTCTTCTCAACATTTCCACACCAATAGGCAGTGCTTTCTAATTATGTGGTTAGGAAAGGTGCTCAAATAGATGATTCAGAAAAAAAAAAAAAAAAAAAAACTAAGGGGAAAAGCCCCTCCATAGCGCCCCCCCTCCCTCCCCCCAAGACAGGCTGTGGAGATAGGTTTCTGCCAGGCCTTGCGGGCTGCCCTGTCTGTGTGGCGGGAAGGAGCAGCGCGGAGGAGGAAGGTTTACTTGGTTTTGCAGTAGGCCACCACACACATGATGCCGACCACCAGCAGGGCGATGCAGATGCCAGTGATGGTCAACACCCTCTTCTGGTAGAGCTCCTCTGCTTCTGGAAAGGGATGAGAGCAGACGTCACCAAAGGCCCCTGACCCTTGCCAGGGTTTACAAGCGAACGGTTGACATGCTACATGGCACTATCCATGGTTACAAGAAATAAATATGTGACAATTCATTACTATTGCAAACATACTTAAGGTACAGCATCACACTGCTCTACATTGTGAGTATAAAACGGCAAAGCCAGATGGGGCCATTTAAATAAAAAACAGTATGCCATAATATTTTAATTATAATTATTTTAATTATAAGCTATTGATACATATGTATTAAACTAGCAAATCATAAACATTGATTGTAAGATAACCATTTGGTTAAAACTGTACTTTTTATTTACTTATTTTTAATATCTTGCAAACATCTCTTGCAAAGACAACAGGAATCAATGCCAATGAAAGGAGCTGGGTTTGGCATCACTGGGACCCTCCTGTCTTCCCTTCTTTCTCCACCCCTAGTCCCTTTTGATTTCCCAGCTATTGTATATTCCAGTGGTCTTTACAAAGAACCATTTATAAATGAATGAAATAAACTCAAAGACATCTGCAAACATGAGCTTGGCTTGTAGTGAGCAACCCAATTGGGGCAGGATCCCTATTATTTCACAGTAAAATGTGAACATAAGCCAGAGGATGTAAGACACTGTCTCAGAGAAAATCCAATCTGGTGGCTAAGACAGTCCTGGGCCAAGGTGAAGGCTGCTCTTTGGAGGACAATTATTATTACGTCACCAATTGCACTTAGAGAACTCATCTCTCTGTATAAAGGAATAACTAGCACAAATAATATACATTCCTGCATTGACCAACATGGCGAATTAGCTAATGTAGATAACACCCAGGAGGTGTGATAGTTAGAATTTTGAAGTAAAGGTACTATTGTACCCCAAATGCAACCAATCTCTTACGCATGTAAGTCTTTCTATTTCCAAACCAGTTTTTTTTGGGTCAGACAATTTGATTCTATGGTAGATCAGGTTCTTAACAAGATGGGCTAATGTAATGGTGAACCTGATTCCTTAGGAGCTGAACTTCCAACCATTCTAGTTACACTTATTGGAAGAGAGTGCACAGGTGACTGAGAAAGAGAACTCAACCAGCGCATAACAAGCAGGGTCAGCTATGCTTGGTTTTCTGATTAACAAGCTGGTCAAGATCTGGGGGATATTATACAAATGAAAGCCTCTTATCTGGACATCAACACGGGCCTTCTGAACATTTCCAGTTGACATTCTCAGTCTCAGTGACCACACCTCTCTTCTTTATTGAAAGAGAGCAATTTGCAGGAAGTTTCCTTGAAGTGAAAAAGTGCATTTTAATTTCTGCGACACGGTGGGCCTTATCATTATACAAAACATTTCCTACAAGCCAAGCCCACGGTAATCAAATTCCAGTTAACAGGTCAGGAACATTTGTCAAATCAAATTAATAGAGCACTGATTATTAACAGGAGGAGGAGGAGGAGAACAGAAGTCAGTGGGTAAAAGACTAGAATGCCACAGAGATTAGACAAAAACAAACCAGAAGGGATGGAAGTGGGAAGGAAAAACAAACCGAGGAGGACAGACAGACTGACAGAATGACTGAGAGAGGGAGGCAGTCAGGGTCAAGGCAAAACAAGGTTAGAAGTGGAGGAGTCATCTGAAGTCCCTGGCCCAGCATGCCTGACACTAAGGGAGGAAAAAGAAACAAATAAAACCAGAGGGAGGAGGAAATGCTCAGGGAGGAAGCAAAGGTGGATGCAAAGGTGGAAGGGTTACCCCATACAGCATAACTCCTAACCTAGGCTGGCCAGCACAGGGAAGCCACGATTAGGAAGCCAAGCAGCTGGTGCACTGCGGTGCGACAATGAACCAGGAGTCATAGGAGTGCTGCCACATATTTTTGTGCCACAAAAGTCAAGTGAGGAGTGGAATGTGAATGCTTATGTGTTAATTGCTTGTGTCTACTGCCTCTCCTCCCCCATAGCCACAGGACAGGGAATTCCATTTTATGGGGTGCTAATCTGTGAGCTGGGCAACTGGAGCCTCCTCCCTGACCTGGCATCCAGATCAGCATTCAGCATCTATGCCAAGAAGCAGAGGCAGCACCTCCCCGCTGGTCCTCCAGGGGACCCAGGACAAGGAGCAAGTCTCCTTTTGTTACTGCTAGCTGGGTAAGAAATCGCAGTGTACGAGTATTATTGCCAAGAAAATGATGACCCTGCCTTCTGTGTCCTTTTTCACTCCCTTTATTTTTTCTTCTTTTTTAAAATAGGAAGGGGCTTGGTTGTGTTGACATCTTCACTTTGTATCTTTAGGAACACTGGGACATTGTTTCTGCAAACTAAAAAAAAAATAAAAAAAAAAAATAAAAAATGGGCTCTATCCAAGGACTAAAAGAAGACCAAGCATCACGTGTACTCTCAGGGATTCTCTTGCCCAAGTTTTTTATTGTTAATAATAAAAGAGTAGATGGACCTGGGTTTGTGACTACATGGCATTCTACCTATGCTCTGTAGGAAGCCATGCATTTCCCTGTGAGATCAATCATGGCAATGAAAGGGCAGCACAGTCAAGGCCAAGGGGGAAAGCAAAAGTGCTAAGTGAAAGCCAAGGCCCAGAGAACAGAGACGTGGGACTAGGATTCCGTATTCACTTCAGCACTTATTGACTGCCTTACATGTTTCTCCTCTGTTTCTGTTGGATTTTCCAATGATTTCCTAGATCAGGTGGCCCCCACAAGATGAATATGTTAAGAGAAAAATACTCCATGAAAAAATCATATAAATACCCTACCCCCCTTTTTTTCTCCTTATTTTTTTTTCTCCTAGTGTAATGGGGACAATAGGGCAACAGTAAATTAAAGGCAGTGCTGAAAGAGAGGAGCCCTTGGCCCAATTGGCAGCTCTGCCGTAATGGATGGAAATGCTGCTGAGACTCTGCTCTTTGGTTTGGCTGGACATTCAAGGGAATCAGATTGAGCATGCTTTTCAGTAAGATCTGGCCAGGCCAAGAGACAGAGGCCTTGTCTTTCTCAATTTAATTGACCTTTAAGGTCTGACTTTCCTTAAGGATAGACTGGTCTGGTCTTGGGACTGTGGAGTCTTTATTAACTCTTAAGAGCTTACTTACTAAAGGCGAAGTGGTATATCTGAACTACCCTTACCTTACTGCATTGCTCAGGAATGAGAATAATAAATTCTATAGTCAGACTCTAGTGTGATAAAGTAGTTAAGATGCTGTTAGGGAGAAGAAGGGAGGTGATGGTGAAATGCTCTTCCTCCATGCAGGAAAGGCCAATAAGCCTTTTCAGAAGTAAGTGGGTCAATTTTACCTCAAGGGCAGTAACCCATAAAGGTAACTTCCTTCATGTAGGTGACCTGCTACTCAAGTGCCATTGGTAGACCCTCTCTTGCCTCTCACTTTTGGGAGGTGTTCTCTGGTGTTCAAAGATCACATATAAATGTGGGGGGAGGGGTTTCCTCATTAAATGATTTTTCTCTTAGAAGATTTTTGGAGGAAGAGACAATTAATTGGGTTTCTATTCCTGCACCTGGTAGAGCCTGTGACAGCCTGGTTTCCCACAAATACTGAAAAGTGTATTAGCTGTCAACTGTGAGGTTGTCAGCCAAAATGAAAGAGCAGTTGGAGGGTGCCCTCCCTGCATGATGTCACTGACATCATGGATGGGAGGAGATATCCTGTTAATCAGGACACGGTTGGCCCATTACCATTCCAGGGCTGTGTGCAGTGTTCATGAAGCCTGGTGCCTGTGCAGTGGAGCCTCTGGGAAGGCAGCACGGCTTCCCCTCCTCCCAAGACTGGCCCTTTCTACCAACTATCCAGGAAGAAAGCCTCCAGAAAGAGCATGCTCCAAATTCATATGCTCCCTAGGAGGTATTTGATGTTTACAGTATCTGATTACTTGTCTGGATAATCTTAGTGACTCAAGTTTAATTCCATTAGCACTAGAATTTCCACCTAAAATAGCACAAGGCTTCTATCTTTCTGTTTTCTATTTCCTTGCTTAGGAGATAATGAAGCTGACTAGAGTCATGCTTGAATAGCTCCAGAAAATCAGAGCAATTCATGTCTGTCCATATCATATTGTTTTGCAATGTAAGGATTTTCCATTACTATATTGCATATGATTTTTATATTGTATGTCAAACTCCCATAAGTCTAAGATGTGGTGTTTGTCTAGGGCGAATTATTTAAAACTTCTTTGGTTCCCAGGCCTCTGGCTTGGTACCTCCTGTAGCTTTGTGTATCATTCCAACTTACCCCAGCTCTTAAACAACAGCATGGCCAGATCCAATCAGTGGATCAAAGAACGTGGGATGTATGTGAATTTGCAGGTAGGTGAGGTGATTTTTGAACTCTAAGTGAAGCTTGGGAATCTAAAAGCTGCTGTGCTCAGTAACATTTTGGGTAGACTAATCATAGATTGAAAATGGAAAAATCATTTTAGTTATAGCTGTATGATCCCTTCTAAAGGAAAAGGAAATTAGTTAGGAACTGAAAGGTAAGAGAAGGGAGGGAAAAAGATTACAGCTCATAGGCTCTACATTCTGCAGGCTAAAAGGAATGATGATTGGTCCATACCCATAAATTCAATCCCAAGATGCTCTGCCAATGCAGAAAGTTGACAAAAAAAGAAAAAAAAAAAGGGAAAAAGTTTCAGAAAAGAGCAATACACTGCACTCCAAAAAACACATTACACATGACTACTACTGCTCTCTGTGCGTGCACACTGAACAGGACAAATGGTGGTTGTTAGTGAAGCAGTGCTCAGGTAAGCCTCCAGGAGTCCACAAAAGGAACTTCTCTTTTAAGGGGTGTGCAAATATCAGCACACTGTGACTTTATTAACCCTTAAAGAACCTCACTGAGGGAGAAGTTGTATAGCTGAACTATCTATCCTCTATGCTCCTGCTCCCATGTTGCTTAGGAATAGAAATACCATACTTATAATTACAAAAGACATTTGGCATTACTTCATTCCTGTCTTTTTAAAAGGTAGAGGCAAAGTTCCACGTAGATAAAATGATTGGTTAATTTTATTACTCCCTCAAGTAACAGAGAACCAATTAGGCAATCACTCCACAGTGCTGAGGTCTGATGCCCAGCTGCCAGCCAACAGGCACTGGTATCCAGAGGACCAGCGGACAGGCCAGGAAGGGAACTTAGAGGTATGAGCCCTCAGCCTGCACTCCAGAAGAGGTGTCTGGATTGCAGGCCTGGCAGGACCTGTATGGACTGGAATGGTTAAAAGAGGGACTTAGGCAAAGAAGCAAATAGCCCTAGAAATGACACTTTCCATCCTTGAAACAAAAATGATTGATCAAATCCCACCAGATGGGGCCCTTCAGGAGCGCACAGTGTGGTGGCCAGGCAGGGCCAGAATGAAGACAGAGGTCAGGAGTCTACATTCCTCCCTTGGATCCCTAATTAGAGAGGCACCAGGGCGGTCTGCCAATATGACAAAACACCTCTTAAGTTTGAAACCATGTGGCCCAGGGTGATTTCTCTTACAAAGCCATCAGTTTGTACCTGGACAAAGCGCCCCCTACAGAGAGGTTAGAGTAGGAGCTAAGAGAGCTGGAGTCTTCCTGGTATCAGGACCGGCCTCTGCCATTTGCCTGCTCAGTGACTTTGGACTAGTTCATTTCTCATTGACACATGCCTCACAGGGTGAGCCTATGGAGTAAAGAAACCCTGAAATGGGTCGGCAGGTGGCCAAAGCGTTTAACAGCTTGGAGAACATTCTCGTCTGGATGTCCCCCTTGGGCTAGTTGCTGCATGGAGGTTTACTTTTGACTAATTTCATAGCCAGGAAAACTCTGAAAGCTCCTGGGACACTTCAAGAATTTAGACTTTAACAACTCGCCACCTCTTAAGAAAATGAGCTTTTACAGATTAAAAAATAAAATAAAATAGTTCATTGAGTTACAATGATAAAGAAAGGCACCAGATATAATAGGGAATCCCTCTGCCTGGGGTCCAGGGTACTCAAGCAAATAACTACATTTTTCATAAATTAAAAGCCAGAGGAAATAGGGTTGATTTGGCTGCACAATGTTCACAGCAAAACAAATGTATTCAAATCAAAATAAATGTCTCTTGCCTTTGTGCAACTATTTGACAAATGGACTTTTATTTTTTCCTTCAACTTGTTCCCTTCAAGTAAACTTTGGAATGCCAGGCATTACAATTTCATGTTTGGAGGAAGTGATAATAAATTTCCTTACACATTTTCATGAGGAGGTGACTCAAAATTTCTCTCTACAACTCTCTCCACCTCTTGCCTTTTCCTCTTACTAGTCAGTAACAATTTAAGGGTTAAAAAATCAAGAAATATCTATAGAAACTCTTCCCAGAGAATCATTACTCCATGCCTACGTGAACACTGCTAATGATCCATATTAGGTGCATAGAAAGCTTGGTTAAGTCTTCAATAAAATTAGTAGCATGCCCATGCATACATATTACTGCATTTACATTTATAGGTAAGTCTGTGAGCCTAACTATAATTTCATTTCACGGGAAGTCATTCATATCAGGCAGCTCCAATTTCAAATAATTCAAAGGGAAATTGGTACTTAAAATTGGAATCTCTTCTGGCCATAAGCCCTAACAAGGAAACAAGCAGAGGAAACATGCATCAGTCATTCTAGACCTGGAGCACACACTCCCGTAATTTATTTTTACTATCAGTGGCTACGTTTCTTTCTTGTGAGTCAAGAAAAGCATAATACACAAACACTTTTCATTACATAAAGAGGTTATTACTTTCTATCTATTCTACTTAATCTAATGTTGGCTTGGGCTCATTATGCATCATATGCTTCCTATTGAATGTCTGCCTAGCTACTCTATTTTTCAAATTAAATTAATAATTCAAAAACACACAGGTTACTGTAAACAATTCTGTTTCCTTTTCTACATGTGATTTCCTGCTGTGCAGTAAGCAATATAAAAATTTAATTTAAATCCGAGAATCTTCAGAAACTATTAAATATTGACTTTGCTTTATAAAGGATTTTATAATTGTTTGAAGAAAACTGATTAACCTGCAGGTTAATTTAAATTTTCTATTTCATTAGTGAAATGAACAGTGAAATAGAAAAAACTTTCTTTTGCCGAAGTTACCTGTTCATGCAATTACGGTTTCTGTTAAAATTTGAAGACATTCGGGGTTTTATTCTTTAACATCCTGGGTCTCTTTATGGAAATAATCTCAGAGACTTGAGTATAATCTTGCTTTTCTGCACCTCTGAAGTTTCTAAAGAGTTCTGTCAATGTCAATTCTAAACGGGACCAATTTCAGGTCTGACTTTTAATTTTCAACTTACCTTTACAAATGTAATAGGAGACTCTCTCCTTACTCCGGTTTCCATGCGCACAAGAGCACACTCACAAACACAGCAAAATCTCACTACACTTGGGTGGAATTCGTGATAATTTTGTTGGAGATTGAGTGTGCCTTTATTCTACTGTTAGCAAGATACATGTTTGATAAATGAATGAATAACTTGTTTTTAAAGATTTAGAAATCAACTTAAGTAATTTGTGCAGTAGTAATCTATGACTCAAAATGACTTTTAAGGATATCTGCTAAGTTTACTCATTCTGAGAACAGGCCTAAAAGTTCTAAAACTGCACTATTTAAAAATATTCTATAGTCTGGGCTATTCTGTAATTACTTCTTATTGTATGTTAGCTTATATAACATACTTGCCCCATATTTCCTCTAACTATTGAAGCCTTCAATGTCCCCCCCTCCCCCCCATAAAGTCTATAAATTGATTATGGATTGCCTGCACACACACACACACACACACACACACACACACGATGAACACAATCCTTTGAAGCAGGAAGTGTGTCCATAGGTCAAATTTGAAGCTGACTAGCCTTGGCAATATTTTCCTAGGAAGCACTATAAATATATTTTATTTAAAGGGACATGGCTTCCTTCACAAAAGCCATATAAAATAAACATTTGTTCCATTCTTTTTATAATTTAAATCAGTTTTGATAAATCAATAAAAGGCCTCATAGGAAAATCTGACCAGAAAAGTTGCATCAAATCCTAATAATGTAATTTATGTGTTAATAAGCATTATAAAAGTTGGACATTCTTTTAGAATATTATTTTTCCATTGGAAATGTGGTTTGGCACATTATAAAAAAAACAGTTCTCTGTAAAGCTAGGGAATATCTTTTCTTTTAAAATTTATGTTCTGTGTTTCAGATTTTAGGAACACTAACAAGTACATTTTAAACATTACCACTGTGGCTATGTTTTTTATTCTTTGTGCAGCCTTCATTGCTACTGAACATAAAGTTCTTAGAACAGCAAACATCTATTTTCCTGCCTTCTCCGGGGGAGTGTGCAGAAATAAACACTGAGAATTTACGACATGGAGGTTAGAAAATTAACTCGAGGCTAGGCAAGTTTGGGAAGTGGTTTCTGATCAGAGGGCCTTGCTTTTCTGGGCACAAGGCAGCACTGAGGCACAGTCATTGCAGATTCTGCTCATAAATGTGCTTCAGATCGATCTTTGTTAAATCAGGTTAAGTGGGAATGCTGCTTTCCTGGATGTCTTCCAAAAGCTCACGGAAGAATTTGTTCAAGGAGTCACATTTTGATTAAATACACAGTGTGGCTCTCTTTAAATAATATCTTAGGAAAGAAAATGCTCTCAAAGAGAAGTTGAGAGTATTTTCCCTGGTTATAACTGTCAAATCCAATGGCATTATTATTTTTAGCATATCTTCATTTGTAATGCTTTTCTCTATGCAGTGGCCCAATATTGCCTTCAGTGCACAAAAAAATTATATAACAACCAAAACTTTTACTATAATGCAAATGTTCAGAATTTTCATTAAATTATAAAATATAATTTCATTGTATTTATACAGTTACATGGACTTGCTAAATCTATATTGTTTGAATACCAACACATAATTACTAAAAGGAATGGCTTTAATATATAAGTTATCTTATTTCTATTTTCACTTTTCATCTTACCTACTTTTGAAAAATTAATCTATAGCTATGGAGAGAAAAATTATGTTCACTAAATGTATACGATTTTAAGATTTGCCAATAAAGTAAAAATTGCATTTGAAAACTTAGTGATATCAATTTACCAATTTTTATAGCAGGAAATGGCCAAAAAATAATTGATATGAAGCCCATGTAAATATATAATTAATACCATTTCACTCAATAAATGATTCAATATTATGTGTCTCATCTCCCCCTGATGCAAGGGGAATTTATTTTTCAATGGCACTTATTATTATTCTAGGACTGTTAACCTGAGGGACTGACTCTTATTCGCTGCGTGTATTTGAATAAGGATAAATCCATTCTTTTAGGACCCCCAAATGACCAGCTCCTGTCACTGTTTCTTGTGTCACATAAACTTACACTGCAATGAGCTATGTGTAATATTCAGGGTGAGCAACTGACACTCTAAATCAGAGGTGGACAAATCCAGCCCACCGCCTGTTTTTTATAAATAAAGTTTTAATAGTATAGAACCATGCTAATTATTTTATGCACTGTCTATGGCTGCTTTTGTGTCACAATGGTAGAGTTAAGTCAGTATTTACTGCCTGATCCCTTACAGGAAAAAAAAAATTGTCAACCTTTGATCTAAATGGATAGCTTCATGGAATCCATGTTAAATACAATACTTTGGAAGCCGCAGAATTAAAAGCTATAGTCTCAATTCACAATAGAATGACAAGTACTACATAGTTCAGTTATTCATGCCATTATATGCAACATGAATTTCATTGTTTAAGAATGATGCTCAAGAAGCTATAGGAACCCACTAACATTTCTCAGTTCTGCAATAAATAATATATTATCTTAGCCCAGCCAGTGTGCGTCAGTGGTTGAGCATTGACCTATGAATCAGGAGGTCTCAGTTTGATTCCCAGTCACAGCACATATCCAAGTTGTGGGCTCAATCTTCAATGGGGGGCATGCAGAAGGCAGCCGGTCAATTATCCTCTCTCATCATTGACATTTCTATCTCTCTTTCCCTCTCCCTTCTTCTCTGAAATCATTAAAAATGTATTTTTAAAATAGAGGTGAACTGTTATATTTCAAAGTAAATAATATTTAAAAATCTATTTTCCCTTAAAATTACCATTTAAACTAGCAATAAAGATATACTAACATAAACAAATGATCATTTAAACTAGATCTGAATCACTTGTTTCCTAAGCAACATAAGTAGAAGCCAGGCTCTCTCATTTGCTGTGAAATGTTTGTTTATTATTAATTTTCCTACTCAGTGCTTTTTTTTTTTTTTTTTTTTTCTAATACCTAAATGCAAACTGCTGGTTAATGAAGAAAAACATCTGAACTCTTTTTATTATGTTTATTCGTTATAAATACATTCTGAAACCAAATTTAACTTACCATCATTTCAAGTGCATACTGGTTACAACTTAGAAACATCTTTCTCAGGATGTTGTCATTTTATAAAGAAGATGGACTGTTCAGTGGAATGCTTTTATTTTATCAATAAAAGTGAGACTTTTCAATGCCTTTATTATAAACGCACTGCTTGATATTGACTATTATTGTGTATCACATTATCAAATATCAATTTCAGAAACATTGGGAGCCTCACACACCTATTCCGTTCTCAGAGCAACTAGCCATGAACAGAGGAAGTAATACAATCACTTTTGTTAATGGTCTCATGCGACAGGCAGAGGCAGTCAATGTTAGACCTGGTCACACACATCTAGCTCTAGGTGAAATCTGAGGGGAGATGCAGCAACAAGAAAGCAGCACCGACTGAGCATGCTCCTATTCAGGCAGAGACAGAAAGGGAGTGGACGTACTGTAGAAGCTGGCCATTACGTAGTTTTGGCAACGATCACCAGTAAACTCATTTGGGCACCTGAGAGAAGAAACAAAAAACAATGGTAGAAAAAAACAGAGAAAAAGAGAAGAGGTGAATATATGCTAGAAAGAAGCTCCTTCAGTGTCATTTGACCGAACTTGGTGAGTTCACTCTCAGGAACGGAGTCTTTGTCCTAATCATGGTTTTCAGACTCTGGTGTTTTCCCCAAAGGGTGAGAAATCTGGACCAAATGCAGTCCTCGCGTTTGTATGACAGAAAGATCCCAGTATTTTAAGTGACTTCTTTCTTTCAAAGGGAGCCACTTAAAATGAAAACATAATCTCAGTTTTCCATTTGATAACTTCTGTCACACATTTGGAAGGACAGTTTTATTTGGTTGGCCTGCCTGCCATGGTTGCCAGCATCACTGGCCACTCTGGTGGGTCATTCTTTTAAACTGATTATCTTTGGGGCCCATGTTGTGAGATAGCTGAAGAAGGTCAGATTCAATGGTGTATGCCCCGAGTGGTGAAACCATAATTTGAACAAAAGGAATCCGTTACAACTGAGCTGTAATAACACCAAGTGGTAGTGCTTGTTGCTGTAGTTTGGGGGGAAAAACAAATTTCAGATTATTTTAACATACTTTCTTGGTTTTGGACTTTCATGGGCACATTCTCAGTACATCTTGCTCCAGTGAATCCAGGTTGGCACCTAGAGGGCAAAAATGTGATAAGCAATAGAACGCTAAGGACATTGAACTTTCAGACTGGAATTTTTCCTCCTACGGAATATGGAGATTCCTACAAATGACCTGGTGACTGAACAACATAAAGAAAAGAAGAGACAAAACACTTAGAAAACCATGTACCATGAAAACTGTGGGGTATATACTTTTGTTGTTATTGAAATGCTTCATTCTTCATAGATTAACTGAAATTTAACTAGAGGGAGGTTGGAAAGTTGGATGGGGCTGGCAAGACCTGGGCAGCTAACTCATTTTCCCTTTGGCATTTCCTTATTTGCCACTGATCCTTGACTCTTCCTGTGTTAATAAGAGTAACCATTTTGTAAGGAATATAAATATCTAATCACTATTTTTACACCTGAAACTAATATAATATTTTATTGCCAACTGTCATTGAAAATAACTTTAAAAAAATACTAGTTTTGGTGAGAGCTTACATAGCTCCACCCATAACCTTCAATTATTTAAATCAATCTGAGCTTTTACTTTTATAAATACTCAATTTTGCACTTATTTCATAGGTTTTTTTAATGTTATAAGTTAAGTCATCAAACTGCACTGGAAATCAAGCACTTTCACACCCTAATGATTACTGACAAGAAAAATGACATTCCCTGTATTTTTAAACAAATATATTACAAATTAGGTCTCATTTTTAATGTTGAAAGAGAAATAGGCCTAGTTTTATTAGAACAAATTTCATTTAATGCAATTATACCAAATACAAATACATTTTAAACACTTAAACATTAAAACTTCTACGGTAGTACTTCATGTCATTTTGCTTTTGAGATAAAACTATTTGGAAATTGTATAAAATTTAAATTTTATTCACTCACATATATTCACCTGTCAGAATTCTAGAACTGATAAACTATTGTTCTTATAGTGGAACTATTGTTCCTAAATATGGAAGTCCTTTACAACTACTCTTATTGTGTTGTTATTCCAGTAACGAAAGCATTTCAGATTGAATTCATTTTACCCACTATCATGCTCTGATAAGAATAGGCATACCTTAAGCTCTAGTGTTACTAGGACCTTTAAAAGATTCTAAAAAGCAAATATACTTAGAGATGCTCAACACCCATGGCCATGATTATTACTAATAGTTTATCTAAACCATGAACATCATGCAAAGCACCTAATGCAATTGAGTTCTGATAGCAAATGCCTTATAATTTATACACAACCCTTTCTTCTCCAGAGTAACTAAGAGTAAACACTATCTTTTGCATCAAAGAGAAGTGAACAAAACTATTAATTTTTACTAGACAGGGGTGATTTTTAAAATTTGCCTTGAAGTCAAATTAAATGCCAAAAAATGTTATCACGTGATTTGGCACATCTGATTCTCCTACTTCATGAAGAATGGCATGAAAGATAAAATATTGGCAGTTCCAAACTTTCGGCCTTACGTGTACCTGTGTAAACTTAAAGTATAAATGATCATTAACAATAATATCAATAAGCTTAACAAAAAACACTTTGTATTGATTGATAGGGCCCTTTTGAGTCAATTTTATATAAATTAGCTGGTTATTTTTGGTTAGAATATTTTTGCTGCAGAAAACAGAGGAAGATCTACTGAGAAAAATATAGAAATAAAAACTATAACATTTGAGGCTGGGTTACTTCTCAAAAAGACATCACTCTACATGCTTCAGTAAGAATTTCTTCATAGATATAAAAGAAAAATGCATGGGAACCTACTTTCCATATAACATATTTAACATAATTTCCAAAGTATTTGGGGTTTTTATTTGTGTATATGCTTCTGAAACTAGGACTATAAATCCATATATACATACCCTGTAATTAAGCAAGTAATTTCAGAATTAAATATATTCTACAATGATTATTTCATCTTACCTGTTTGCTTTCTTGAAAAAAATCTTAAATTCTAATATTATTCACACAATAATCCACTTTTTTCATACAAAGAACTTGGTATAAGATGTGTGTTTGTATGTCTGTGTGTGTGTGTGGGGGGGGGAGAGAGAAAACGAATTATAACTTTTGAGGTCAGGAATTCACTTTTGAGTCCCTTAGGAGAAGGAATGTGCATTAGAAAATTGTCATGAATGCATCTTAGATGACAGTTTTGAGATCAGAGGGCACAGAACAACTAGGTGAAGGGAATAAAAAGATTCACCCAATCAATTTTATAATGAGTATGAAATTCTATAATGATGTTTTCCAGGAAACTAGCATTATGGGATGGTGCTTTATCTCTATTATAAGATGATACAGAATATTTGGTATATAACACTAGAGCTTAAGGTATGCTGATTCTTTTTGGAATTATCAGCTATGTCTGAGCCAGAACTATGCTTTTACTAATGTTGATCTTCACTCAGATATATTTTCCTAGTGTGAAGCCTTATTATTTTTCAGAGTGTGGTTCATGGACCAAGAGCACCAACATCTTCTGGTTCTTATTGGTGGAAATGCAGAATCCTAGGCCCTAGGCCAGAACTACTGAATAAGAGTTTGTATTTTAACAAGATCCCTGGTAGATCTGCATGTACATTAAAGAGTAAGGTGTCAGGGACCATGACCTTGAAAGATGAAGACTAAGGCTGGCAGCATCCTAGCCCCATCACATCTTGGATTGAGCAGCCAATGGGTTTCACTGGGTCTTAGTTTTTCTCAGTGATAAGATTAAGGGATTTAATTAAGTGATTATCAAAGGTTTCTTTTACCATAGCAGAACTGGGAATGGAAGCTCATCCTAGCACATGGAATCACTATGCCAAAACCCCTACGTCATTTCTTTTGTATTCATTACCAGTCAGGAAGGACTCAAGGACTTCTAAAAAAAAAAATCTATTTTGATAGAATAAATTTTCAAGACAACCATGGAGGTAAAACAAACCTCAAGACCTATTCCCAAGCAATTCAGGCGTTCAGCAACAACAGTCATCGTGTAGTTTTTGTGGATACTAAGAGCTGTTGCCAAATCAAATGGAAGGAAGTGGAAACTGATTTTCTGCATAAGCACACTGCAGACGGCATTGATTGTGTAGAAAAAGTATGTGCAAAAATGAAAACTCATCTGCTCTATCTATATGTTCTGAATCAAGTCTATGGGATTACTTCTAAAAGAACAGGGAGACTGTCTGCCTTCTGACTTATTGCTATATTAGCATTATATACTAAGCTTATAATCTATCACTTTCCTTAGAGATAAGAATATCATAAATTTAATCTGATTTGGAACAATATGCTTTGGAATGAGTCTGAGAAAATGCAAAGAACTTTCTTTCTTAGAAGAACCTGGTTGAATAACAATCAACCCTCTACTGTTGCTTCAAAAATACATATATCACACGTTCCATTGATTAGATCAGAAGATGGAAAGACTGATTTTTTTTTACTTGGTATTTTCTCATAATGTGATATGTGATCTTTTTTCTACACTTGTTATTATTGAGATGAAAATTCACAGTTTGTCTAACATTAAGTATCACTTCTTCCAACTGACCCTGGCCTGAAGCTCCTATCTCCCCACTTCCACACCTGGGTATGGTTTTCCTCTCAGGCTCTCCTAGGGGACTGGTCCCCATCTCTTTGCCCTTATCTGTCTGTGTTGTGATTATCTTTTTGTAAGGATAGTGACCACATTTTGATTTTATCTCTAATGCTTATTACAGTGCCTGGCTCATAAAAGGCTCTCATAAAAATATCTGTTAAACTGAACCTACTATAGGATCAGACTGAAGTGTTCAGTAAAAACTGTATCAAAGATAATTTTATATAGTCAACTGATTTGCCAACTACAAGTCAATATTGAACTTTTATTTTTTTAGTTTATGATAGACTCCTAAGTAACTTTTTTATAGGGACTCCCAGCACCCTCCTCACAGACTCTCTCCCCTAAATAGAAATCTTTATCATTGTGTTGGGAATTTGAAAAGACTCTATAACTCTTAAGTCTATTACCTCAAATTTAAACCCTGTCATTGAAATGCCAGTTTACCTAGGGTTTCATAAAACAGAATGATCTAGTAACCAAGACTTCCACACAGCATCAGTAAAATAAAAACTGCCCTTAATGATAAACTTACTATACAGTGAGAATCCTAATATATTATATTTACTATATAATTGACCACAAAATCATGTATTTGGAAAATAATTTTGGTGTATTAATGCATAGTATTTTTATATTCTAATTGAACAAATTACTTCCCATTTCTTGGTGGAATGCTAAATATATTCAAATATATTTACGGAATCCCCAAATTTCTGGTTATTTACGGTTTGCTAAATTTATAAATTATTATAAATGTTTCTTTGGCTTTAT